CCATAGACATAGTATATCTAGACTGCTGGTTGGCGGAGTGGGGGTAGAGCTCACGTAGAAAAGGATGCACTCTGTTTCGTGCATTGAACGTTCTCTCTCGCACACGCGAAAAGAGGGGATAAGGGGAAGCAGTTACTAACCTGTGCGAGAGAGAACGCACAGACACGAAACAGAGTGCATCCTTTTCTACGTGAGCTCTACCCCCACTCCTGAAATTTGAGAGAACCAGCAGTCTAGATATACTATGTCTAGGATCTCCGCCCTCCCCCCTCCCTCTCGTTCTCCGTCGGTTTGTTGATTCAGCGATAACAGCTGATCGTGACACGCAGCGGGACGAGCTCTACGTTGTAACAATATATGCGTTTACGCATGCATATGCACGTATAATAATTGAACCGAGATCCGTTTGAGAGAAATCGTAAGCGAGGAATATGCTGAAGCCGAAGGCGCTCACGCAGGTCCTCAGTCAAGCGAATACCGGGGGCGTGGAGAACACCTTGTGAGTACAAGAGATCGGAGACGCACCAGATACACTCGCTCGCGGTACTTCGGGCTCTATTTCAAAACACGTCCCATTGTTCGTACAAGAGTAACTTGGCACAAAGTGGGAATCCGTGTGTCGAGTCGTCCGATAAACAATGCGGTACGAGCCCGATTTATTCTTGAGCTCGAAGCCGCGACTCGTGTCGCCAGGAAATTGAAAATTTCAGATTGAGATGGGACGAAGTTGGAAACAATAGGATTTGGATTAAAATTCAAGTGTCAAACTTTTGGCTTAGCTGCAAACATATCCGTAGCACCGCATTGCTTACAGGATGACCCAATAGATATCTTTCTAGTTGATTATCTTCGTGCATGATATTTCAGGATTCTGAAGGTAATGTAAACCAATGGCACTGCAATTTGGATTGCTAGAGAGACACGAGTTGTTGGTAGAGTTTGAAATCACGCCCTGTTCGTTAAGCTACAATTGTTTCAGGCAGTTGAAAATACCACTAAATACACGATTACATTTCACGTTTTAGATTGCTCAACAGGGACGGTGGATTGTTAGCGTACAGCGGTTACGGGGATAAGGACGCCAGGGTCACAGCTGCCATCACGAGTAACATTTGGACAGCTTACGAGAAGAACGGGCGAAACGCCTTCAAGGAAGATGAACTGCAGTTTGTTCTCATGGATTGTATGGTAACAGATCAAACGGGCATTTTCCCAATTATTTCACATAAGCCGAGAGTCTGTTACACTCTTGTTTCCAGGAAGGGAAGGTCGTTATCACCGAGGTAGCCAATCTGCTCTTGTGCTTGTACGCGAAGGAGAGCGTGGGATTTGGATTACTGCGCGAGAAGGCGCAGGCGTTGGCCCAGTACCTCGATCAGCCCTTAAAGACGATAGCGAACATGCCTTGAACGGCCCCGACGGAATCGCAATCGATCATCCCGCTTTCACAAAGTCTGCTGCACTCGAGAGATTACGAATTTACCTTTGCGATACTTATTTATTGTTTGTAAGAATTTGTAAGTTGTACGCGTATAAATATATTTTTTATTGACTCGAGATGTTAACGTGCGTGCGTGTTTCCGCTCTTAACACGCGCGTGTATCTACAATTCTAAATGCCGTGGGAGGTTCAGGGAAAGAGCTACGAGTGTAATAATTGATGCAATAATGTAGAAATAGACGAACGGAAGTGTGGGAACGAAAGCTGCTCTTTAATGTATATAATAAATCTTTTATTTCATATAAGTTACAATTAATACAAACAATTTGCATTTTATCTCACTTTACAAATCACACGCTGTGATCGTAGGGACTACTTAATGTAAGCCCACCTATCGGTAATGTAACGTCAGTAGTTGCCGCATGTGTGAATCGCTGCTATTCAACGCGCAAAAGTTGCTTCCAATTCATAAACTTGTCGGGGCACACGAGACTATATGACTGCGCGATCGGCGGGAAAGAAAATCATTAACAGCGTTAAATATACCTACGTTCGTCACTTACTGCGAATTGCACTACTAGAGATAAAGAGTTATTGCATAGAAAGTTCCTAAAGTTCTATACCTTTCTCGTATCAGAGTACTTATACTTAAAAGTATCGCTAAAACAAATTTTGATTACGTTTCGCGTTACACATCCGCCGCACGTACAGCGACGCGACGGACGTTTGTACGTACACGCACTTGGAGAAAAGACAATAATTAATACGCACCCTTGGTTTCCCCGATGAGAACGTTTTACTGAAGATGTAATGAAATTTTGCCGAGATGCACTTGAAAATCTCCCTCGCGCTTGACCCGGTTTTATTGTCGTTTCAGTAAAAGTTCAGTGAAAAATGGCCTCAAAAGTTTGTTTTTTTTTTATTAAAAAGTAACATAGTTTCTAGTCATTTTTTTAATATTATTTTTCAACAGTATACCTTAATTTTTCTTACATCTCGCAGCGTTGAATCTCACGGGGAAACTTACGATTTATTTTGAGATACGTTCGGCAAGTTTTCTCAATAACTTTCATCTCGCTTTTCATCGTACTTTCAGTAAAATATTTCCATCGGGGTCCTGCAAACAATTTGGCTTGTTTCAGAAGTCCAGGATGCTGATCGAGACGCGGTAGAAGCAAATGCAAAATCGTCCGAAGTATGCTCCGCACACTTTTGCCGTGACCGTTCGACGTATCGTACGGCGGTAAATACCCAAATTGATAAAACCGTTGGAACGAAATCCGTGTAAGGTGACAGTTGTGCGTGTGCAAATGGTGTGAAATACCTTCATACACGACAACCCCTTCTTTACGTCGCCTACCTCGATTTATCTCCTACCATTGTAACTCTATGGTCTCGAATGAATGAATGTAAACGCTACCTTGTCCCCTAACGCCAAACACCGAATACAAGTTTATCTATCGTTAGAAATCTCTACCTATGAAAGTACAAATTTTACACGAGTAAAGAGGAGGACGTGTATCGCCGCGTGTATAACATGACAATAATGAACATTAATGCTGGGACTAAATTAATGAGTAGTATACATGGATTTTTGTTTTGAGCTAGAAAACAATGCCTTATATTAGCCTAAACAACACTGTACATAGCACGTGGGATTAACAATATTGGTCCTAAAGTTTCGGAAATGTCGCAATACCAAATGAATTGTCGCTAGCCGAAATCGTACAACATCGTGTCGCGTATCCCTTACCGCGCGCGTAAATGTCGGAAATGTACTCGATACAGCTGCAGTTTATATAATACATGTGTATTCCTCGCGACGACAGGTGTCGACTTGGCTGTGTCGAAATAGCAAACACCAACGGCGCGAAATGCAATTGATTATTTGTATTGTTGAACCGCGTTTCTCCCGACGAAGAAAAAAATTGCCGTGTAAATTGCGCGAGATTAATTACGCATGTGTACAATAGTACTAATGGCGTCTATAACAAGCCAATATTACATACGCTCTTCCATTTAACATTTTACATATATTGTCTAGGACACTTTTCTCTGGTTTTCTCCCCCCCCCCCCCCCCCTTTAATAGGCCTTCGACAATTGACAGCCTACATCCGTTGCAAGTACGCTCGTTGCCACGGGTGCAGGGGATCATATTGCAACTGCAGATAATTTCGCGAAAAGAAAATAACTCAATTTCTTTTTCCTCTTCCCGATAGTGCGCATCATCTCGCTGATAATGTAATCGTGTTATTCCGCGCGTGTTTTTCTTTTCGTCAAGCTTTCACGTTTGCGCACGAGATACGCGGTGAACGCTCTTAAACTACGCTTGCTTCGTTCTCCTAAAGTCTCTTTCGCAAATGGCCCATTTTCGAGAGAATCGAGCCCTCGGCTCTTCCCTCAAATATACCTCAGGTCTGTATCCTTAATAAGTAGTGTAATGCAATTGCTTCGTTTAGAAAAAAAGTCCTTTTCCGTATTAACAATGCAATTGTATAAAGTCAGCTTTACGTATTCATAGCTATTAGTACGCGCGTCTCCTGTTTTTTCTCTTTTTTTTTTGAAAATTATCACGTTAGGTATACAAATATCTTTTATGTTTTATAGCGGCAGTGCGAAGGTAAGTAATTTAGACGTCTTACGATAAGGATACGGATAGGAAAAAGAACTTTTGTACAATTTAGTACAAAAAGGCAATCTCTACTACGTTATTACTACTTGGAGATAAAAACTATCGTTTATCGTTAAAAATTTTTATACGAAACTGATTGTTTTCCACCAAATGCCATTCGTCCATTAAAGTATTCGATAAAGCTAAAATATAACTGCAGCCATTATGGAACAACGTCATTTATTATTAATATAACTATGTTATCTATATATATGTATATATTATTTTTATGTATATATGTATATAACATACCTGCTTTTAAAGCAGATAGATGTGCTTATAGAAAAAGGAAGGTTTTTACTTTGTGTTTGTCGTATAGCGATTATCTGATGTATAAACTGTACGAAATTATTAAACTATTCCATTCGTGAGATCGACATTACTCTTTTCACCTTTTGGGCACTGTTAATAAAGAGGAATAAATTAATAATAACGTGTTACTTTCGGTTCTTAAAGCTGTTCGTGTGTACGATCTTGCTATGCAATAAATACGCATCTATAAAATTTTCTTTATCCTTTGCACTGTAATGTCCCTGTAGATTAACATCGTCTAGGAATAGAGGCGGAGGGAATATAATGGAAAGAGAGTGTGGATTTTTACAATACTTAAAATATTAAAGAGAGGAAAAAGTAAACGAAAACAGTCTTCATTCTTGTCGCAGCGCAGCTGATCAAACTAAGGGAGGCATGGGAAAACAAGGACGGATCTAGACATTACATGCGTGAACCCTTCTGCTGCAAAACCTAGAATGTGAATTCAATAATCTCAACTTAATGAAAACGTATTAGTCTCACTTCACTTATATAATAATGCTTAAACGCTAATCGCAGGTTCTACAGCGGCAATTGAAGTTACGGCCTTGTTATGAAAACAAATTGTTCCGCCCGTTACATTGTTGCCAACAAATTAAGAAATACCAAACACGCTACTGCTCCCCAAAAGCAAACCCACATAGTATTAGTACACATAAGTTTAAACAGACTGTCTTTTATATCGTATATAAATAAATCGTACATAATCTACTGGTGGTAAAATATACACTGGACAATTCACTCTTATGCCGCATTTAAAGGACGTAATGTATATGATGAATAATTTGGCATGCAGTATGATTCATGCAGGTCACGGGGCGTAAAGTATATATAACCACAAACCAATGAAAGAAAAAATTCTTTATTCAACGAACGGCATGCGGTACAATAATAATAATAATACTAATAATAATAATAATTGTATGGTACATACAACAAATATCAGAGGCAGGACATGCTCATGCGAACAGGCCTCTGAGCTTCACAGATTATTAGGTGGTTTTCTGTCTCTTTAACGCGACTTTAAATATAATGAGTCAATGTGCATATTTAATGCCTATATGTATAAAAATATAAAATGCATATATACATATGTACGTATATGTATGTATATATATATATATATATATATATGATAAAATAAAAACTCGATCGACAGACTTTTATTTACAGATTCGACTTGAAGAAAAAATGAAGCCACCTGATGAAATCTGCCGCTTAACATTTCACGTCTACAACAGAGTTATTTTCCTTCTGGTACTTCTGTCCCCTCGTAAAACAAATTAAGCAAAATAATTCTAAGCAACCGTCAACAATATTGCAGAAAAAAAAATGTATAGAGGAATGTTTTGCTGAATTAAGCATAAAAGTGATAAGACGTGAGATAAAATTCAATCTCGCGGTAAATGTGTATGTATAAATCATATTTATCGCGTATACAGTGATAAAGCTCGTCTTTGGTTTTCTACCCAACCCAGTCCAGCCGTCAGTACAGGCGAATTGTTAATACCAAAAAATAATACTGCTTTTGTTTTAATTTCACCTCATTAGAACTGATAAAGGTATGTTATTTGACTTCACAATAGCGTTAAAAATCAGGAAAACTCAAAATGTTGGGTCGCAAGAGCAAGATAGGACCATTTTCTCGCGCTCGGAGATTTCTACTTGCAATCCTCCAATCCTTTTCCAGGCAGGAAAGTGCCGGTGTTTCCAGCTGGAGCACGTTAGACTCAACAAATAACCCCATGCGATCCAACATGAAGAAATTAGGGCTGCCATCCGTCCAGTTTTTCTTTCTGGGTCTTTCGGGGGGACTTTTTTAAGTGGTGCGCTACACCGTTGAGAACTAACATCAAGTCGCGATATTTACGCATTAAGGAGCTACACACGTTGTGCGTGTGTATACGCGTAGAAACCGTAAGATCGTAGCTACTATTTGTTATCGAGAACTACTATTAATAGTTTAAACAGAAAATTCTTCTAGTTTTATCGCTTTATCAGCAACAGTTGTCAGTCGGAAAAGCCCGCGGTGTTAAACTGGTGTTACATTTGTCGTACGATAAATTTTTTAAACGTGTCAATTGGCTGGAGAATAGAAAAGTCCTCGAGTCTCTAGAAATTATCTATTCTGCAGTCAATCAACGCGCTTAACAAATTTCTCGTACGACAAATGTAATAGTACCATTAAACCTTGCAAGTTCTAGGTCAGTAAGAGATGGCAGCCCTATGGAAAATAACAGGGTTGGAAAGTAACTTAATAAAAGTATCCAGTTACAGTTACAGTTTCTTCGCTAAAAATGTAACCAGTTGCAGTTACTCCTCCACGTGACCTTCAAGCAACTATTCAAGGTGAAACCAACGGTACCACCTTACGTCCCCCTTCGAACCAAACAACTTTTGTTTGAAACGTTTGTCCGTATCTTTCATACTTTTGGAGATATTTGCGTGGATCATTTAAAACGAGACAGCCTGTATATAAAGTAACTATTAAATTAGTGACTAGCTATCGACAAAATGTAACCGAGTCAAGTTATAGTTACAGATGGAGAGAGAGTAATGAAGTTGTAACTGTAACTTCGTTACAAGTAACGAGTTACCTCCCAACCCTGGAAAATAATAATACTGACACAGATTACTTAGGATACACGGTCTCGCTGAAAAAACGAAGGTGTAGGTACTTGGTAAGAAAACGTGAATTGAATCTTGGCTAATAAACCCGCGTCCATGTCGCGCGCCGACTCGGGTACAAGGGGATAAACATAAAAATGATGGCGTTAACCGTGGCTACTTTGGCTCAAGTGAGGATGGGAAACAGTCGAATAGGATAGCGGTACCTTGACGCGATCCGTAGACTCCTCTTCTCTACTGCCGAGCTGACTAGGTCCGTACTCTCGGCTCACCACGCATAAAAACTCGGCGTGATCGTCGTTACCGTAGTTATATTGAGAGCCTATGCTGATCACCTGCGCAGAACGAGAGCAACCTGTACAATCCGGGGAGAAGAAACGCCGCGGCGCGACAAGGGAAACGCGGCAAACGCTTGTCGATACCTGCTCGAATCTCCATCCGTCCGACATTGTGGTTACCATCTGCGTGAGCTCGTCCTCGTGACAGTGGATCACCCTGTAGACGTGCTTCTTGGAGTCCCTCTGCGGCCGGGTGTCCCTCAGGATGATCCTCTCTTTGACTAGCCGTATGAGCTCGGTGATATTGTAAAACTCCGCCTCCTCCAGCACGCCCTCCTCCGTCAGGTCCTTGTTGATGACCAGCTTGCCGTGGCGCAGGTAATTGAGGACCGGGCTGAAGTACGTGGGGTCGCGGTCTATCAGGTACGCTCCCGTCTCGTCCTTCGGGAAAGCAGAGCAAAACCCGGGAAGGGGCGGGGGTCATTCACCGCGTCGCTCGGCGGGGGAGGCGCGAGGGAGACCGGGAGGTCTCTCGCCCGCCGCGGGCACGTGGCAATCCCGTCGCCGTCGCCCCGCGGCGTCGACGCGGACGGCGGGGCGGGCGTCCGGTCGGGCGCCGTTTGAAATTCCCGGTAAGAAGCAGTGTCAACTAACCCTGTCCGAAATGAGATCCGAGTCCTCCTGGCACAGCCGGTACAGAAACGAGTTCGGGTCCCTCGCCAGGGTGGTCTTCGCCGTCAGGAAGTACGTCCCGCCCACGTTCAGCCGCACCCACTGCTTGTTGCACCGCTTGCCGACATGATTCTCTGTCATCCCGATCGAGCTGGTGTCGTCGAGGTCCGCCATACTCGCATTGGCATCAATTGGCATTAAAGGGGGGAGCCCCGGGTCAGGTTGGCTCGACGACGCCGCTAGTCGACGCAGCGTCTCGCGTCCGCCGTCGAGCTGCGCGCCCGAGGAACCCGGGGACGGCGGCCGTCCCGCAATTTCGCCCCGTAATTTTAGAACGCTCGCGTTTCCCCGACGGCGGCGCCGCGCTGACAATGACGCGTGCTGAAATCTCGCCGGAGCGCATTTGAACGAGTCTCTCTCTCTCAATTGACCCCGTTTCATTATCATTTCGTCGATATCTCGGTACGAATTGAGCGAAAAGTCCCGTTCTCGTTAAAAAGAGCGCGGCCTTAAACCCGAGAGGTTTCGTAATGTCGCGTACTTCGCAATTTCTTTACTCGCCGCCTCAGAGGCGGCAGATTCGCACTCTCGAGTCTCTAAACTGATTTGCAGAGAGAAAGTGCCGCCGCGAGCGTTCTCCGTCCACGACGTACGCGGGCTCGGGATCCTTCGGCTCGTCGCTTATTCGCGTGCACGCTGGATTCGGATTCGAAACGGCCGTTTCCGCTCGCCGGGCTTCCGGCGTGAAGTTGCGCTCTCGAGCGGCGGGGCAACTTCGGGCGCTCGCGTTCCCTCCCGCGCTCCGTCCCGCGCGCGGAAGAAAAAAAGGAGAACGAAGGGGCGTCGGAGAGGAACCTCCCTCTCGCCCTCTCGGAGACGCGCGCGGTGTGTGCTCCAGAAACCGCGAGCGAGAATCCCCCGCCCGCGCGGGGGGAGCCGAGCGCGAAGCGCGCCCTGGGCCCGCTCGGCGGTCTGGGTTCGAGGCTCGGCGCATAAAAACGTCCGTACCCCCGTGGATTACCGGCAGTCATTGCGCCACGGTCACCCCATCGTGATATGCGGGGCGCCAGGTTGCGCGTCGTCACCGCCGCCGCCGCCGTCGTCCACGTCGTCGTCGTCGTCGTCGTCGTCGCCACCGCCGCCGCCGCCGCCGCCACCGCTGCCGTCGTCGTCAACGCCGTCAACGCCGTCGTGGACAACGCCTGAACGTCGCGCTGCACGCAAGCTCGGAGCAACGCCGCGCGAAGATGCCGGTGAAGGTCGACGTGGTGCCGCCGCCGCCCGCCAACTCAAAACAGCCGGGTGTCACCAAGTCCCTGTTGTACAACGGCTCGCGCTTCCAGGGCTCGCAGAAGTCCAAGGGCAACAGCTACGACGTGGAGGTGGTTTTGCAGGTTAGTCGCGCGCGCTTCCTCCCCGCCGTGCCGCTCCCCCTCTCCCCGAGACCTCGACCCGACCGCCGTCCGCGCCGCCGTCGTGTCGCCACTTCTCGGCAAGTGCGCCGCAAACTGGCGAGCCCACGGGACGGGGCGACGTCCTCGACGGCGGCGAGGACGCGCGGAAGATTCGTTTCCCCTCTCGCCTCTTCTCTCTCTCTCTCTCTCTCTCGCTCTCCCTTCCTCTTTGCAGCGGACGGTTCGCGCGCAACCAAAGTTGATGGTAGTTGCCGATGGTACCGCGGCAGCGTGGGCCTGACACCCGGTACGATTCTTCACCTCGCGTTTGTCCCGTTGCAGCACGTGGACGAGGAAAACAGTTACCTCTGCGGATACCTGAAGATCAAGGGTCTCACGGAGGAGTTTCCGATGCTGACGACGTTCTTCGACGGCGAAATCATCTCGAAAAAGTATCCCTTTTTAACTCGCAAGTGGGACGCGGACGAGGATGTTGACAAGAAACATTGGGTTCGTACCGACACACGCGCTATCGCGCCAACCGCCGTCGTCCGTTACCGCCGCTTCGTCGTCTGCATATCTGCCTTGTTCTTATTGCAGAGTAAATTCGCGTCGTTCTGCCAATACGCCAAAACGTTCAATTCCGACACGTTCGACTACGAGGCACTGAAGGGGACGGACTTTGTGTTTATGAGGTGGAAGGAGCACTTCCTGGTACCCGATCATACGATCAAGGACATCAACGGTGCCTCCTTTGCAGGATTTTACTATATTTGCTTCCAGAAATCCGCCGCCACGATAGAAGGCTTTTATTATCACCGTAGTTCTGAATGGTAAAACGCCAGACTACAAGTTAGAAAGTAGTTTTAACGCTAGCGACTTGAGTGGTGACATTTGATTTCTGAACGCGCCGATTGAACCGCTTGGAACAGGAAGGATGTACGCGCGGCAGAATCGTATCGCGGGAAACGAAACGCTGTTTTACAAGCGGAAAGTGGATCCCCGAGATGAGTTTCCACGAAAGAAGCTGTCTTTTCGATGCAAGGATTTGCGAACTCGCCGCGTGTCCACTGTCTGTTCTTACCGGTTCAATTGTGTTCTTAATAAATGCGAGTACACAATGCAAGATGGAATAACTAAAACGACAATTCCGAACGTTGTTTCAGGTATCAATCCTTGAATCTGAGGCATGTCCCAGAGCACAGTATACAGATATACGAGTTCAGGTGAAGTCGATACCTCCGCTGAAAAGCCTCACGATATTCGCGTCTTTTCTTTCCTGGCGTACAGATCTCATAAAGATTCGTCTTATAAATTCTATTAGAAGTGTCGCAGTGAGTCTGTTTCTTATTCGTGACACGCCCCCCCCCCCGCAGTTTCTCAGGGGGGGAAAGATTGACGGTGAAAAGTATTCAGGATTTTACGATATCCTGCTCTCAGTCGACTGTATTGAGAAACGTTGAGATCACGAGAATTGGAGTGCCTATTTATTAAGTGGTCGACTACGGATAATAATTATTTCAACGTGATTGATTGTAAAACCAAACACTTTTGATCGAAATAAATTATCTGATGCATATCATTTTAAATGATTGGTGTTGCGTTATTCAGTAATCTGATAAAGGCTTTTCGAGACTTTTGTTTGTGCTCGTTATTATTGTGCGTTTAATACTTCTGGTTTTCATTGCTGACTGAAACATATAGTCCAACATGTTTGTACGGAAAAATGAGACAAGGTCAACCGTTGAATAACGTTTTTGCGAAGATATTTTATGAGAATATAATTTATGAGCAAGAATTCTTCCTTTCGTTGCTCAGGCTATTTATGAGATCTGTTTGCCACCTTGGAAAAGATCAGGTGTAAACTGTTTGAATGAAGCTGTACGTATGTCGCAAAAGGAGGAACAAACGGAAATGGTAATCGCGAAAGGGTTTTATCGAGGTTTCGTCGGTAGCCTATGTTGAAAACATTTTATTTATTTATTTTACGCGCGAACGAACTTTATTCGACTCTAATGTTTTATACATACATATATGAAATATATGTATAGCTGAGTTTAAGAATAGGCGTTAGACACATGTTGGCTATTCGTAAAACTTGTCTTCATGTTTTTAACCGAAATGTTAATTAAATATATCGATTCTCTTAGAGAAAATAGTACACTGTTGTGATAAGCATTACCATAATGTATACATAAATATATATATACACATATATATATACGAATGTATATAAGTTAAACGAGCTGTAATAGGTAATCGCGTAGCTTACCCGAGATTTACACTGGCATAGTACAGCATTCATTTGCGCGTGTGACGTTTGTGAAACCCGTTCTCGATCACCAGTGATATTGATATTTCAAATGGCATCCCCCCACATGCCACATTATTTTCGATATTAATTTTATTTAGCGTTGTTAAATACTAATAATTTTTGTTTTCTCTTTTTATATTTGTGCTAATAATAATCTACCTGAATACTCAAACCGTTAGGACAGTACGCGGTACTGTATACAATAAAAGCGCATGTCGAGTCGATGAGTTTGTAACGAACGGTCAAACTTTGGACATTGGAAAACGTAGCTACGTATAAGAGATACATATTTAATATAATATATCAGATACCTTAAGAGTACACTGATATTGTTAATTATATTAAGTCGACCTCTATTATAAAAAAAAAGAACAGAAACTTAGATCGTTGTCGCATCCTTATTTCTAAGTTATACGTTGTTGTGTTTCTTTAAGAAGAGTATCTTTATATTATCAGTTATTGATACCAGTTTTATACATGAACATGCCGTGCAAAGTGTCACATATCAGTCCGTCAAGTTGCATGTTGTTTTTCTTCCAGTACGCCACTGTGCATCTGTTTTTACAAGCTGCGAAATTTATCAATCTCGCGCGCTAACGGAATCTAATTCTTGCTTAAACAATGTACAACAGGAAATATAACATTTATTTACGATAACCGGCGCATTTTATGCACAAAAGGAATGTTTGCTTTATAAGAGACGTCCATAGGTTCATAAATATTCGATTTATTTTCGCTATACAACCGCATGTGCTTTAAACTGGAACACATAATTGAATACAAATTGGAGTCGGGTTTCGCGCTATTATACAAATAGAACCACCATGTGCAGATGGAATACATCGATGAAAGTCACAGTGCTCAAATTAACAAGAAAGTAGTGTTAAAAGTTGCCAGGGAGAAAATCTCGCCAATTCCAGCGACTGAATTCAGTGAGGAACACGATTAAACCGATTAATTAATTGTGATTAAGACCGTAGTCGAAAGGATCAAGTGTTTATTGTATACAGCAAGTATACGGGACAAGCTCTCTAATCCTCCGTCATCCAACGAAATTAACGTTTCGCGCTATCGAGTTAGAAGCATTTTGGCAAACGGGACGGCATTTTCCATTCTTCCTTTAACATGTGGCCCCCTTTTAAGTGGATATTCCTTCGTGTATGAAAGGATGTTTGTTCTCTTGTAACAAAATATGTATATAATAATTAACGTGTGGACTATTTATTAAAGAAAGATTTGGTATTCGAAGTAGGAAGATCCGTTTTTCAAGTCTTTACATACCGATTACATGCATTGCTTAAGTGTGAAGTTGAATTTATTTAGCACATCTCACAGACAAGTAAGCACATCGTGTTATATTCATATAAAACAATATTATAATATAATATTCTTTTCTTTATATACACAGAATATAATTTAGTTAAATCTAACGTAATATAAATATACATCTCATGTGCTTTCCTGGCATCGAGTGATTAGTTACAGACATATCGTTAGAGATCGAGTGTGTTTCTATCTAGTCTATCTATATTACACAAACGCATCTCCTGCAATCTTACACTGTACACTGTGGATTTACATTTCGGTAACATGAAATAAGACGATACTCTTAAATAACGTATTCGGGGCAGAGGGATTTTTCGGATTTCGTTAAACACGAAAGGGAACGAGGGTCGTATCGCCTCGCGCGACTCACAATTCGCGGCGGTAAAGAGAAAGAGAAAAAGAGGGAGAAAACCGTAGAGATTATCATCTGATCTCGATCAACGTAATGAAATGTAAAACTCGTGCCGTAGAAAGAGTCAATTTTATTGCTCTTTATAAAACCGTCTTCTTAAAAAATATATAGCTCTTCCGCGCTCGGTAAAACCGGTAGTTTCCGATAAAACGGTTTTCGCAAGCAATTGAAAATATATATATATATATATATGTATATGTATATATGTCGCTAATATATCTCGAGTTAGCTGCTCTAAACTTTCTACACTTACGCTATCATCATTAGTCTACACCACAACCACCGTAGACTTAGCGAACTTGTACTTTTCAGTTCATTACTCGCTGCTCTCGCAAGCTTGCGATCGAAGAAAGAACACTCCGCACAGAGAGATACGTTTGTGGGGGAAGGGCTGCTCTTTTTTTTCCAACAACGGCCAAAACGAAACTAAGCGGCTTTACAGGGGCTTGTTTAAAAGTACGGGACACACTCGAGTCGCGTAATGCAAAGTGTTCGATCGATACCTGGGTGTGTATCTTGCAAACCTCCGTGAATCCGGACGCGTTCCCCTCTCGACGGAAGCCTGCGACGGGGAGCCCGCGCGAGCTCTGCGATCGACGACGACGCTCGGTAATGTCGAAGCAATTTCCCTGCTTACGTTCGCGCCGTTCTCTCCTTAATCTCGCACAACGGATGGCACGGGTACACGACGGCTCGTCTTAAGCTCGTTTAACAATCGTTCGGATCGTGGAACTGTACGCGCGGCTCGCGGATGTGAAAATATATATATATATATATGTATTTATACGAAATGTATCGCGTGAGATACAAACGCAACAGGTATATCCGTCAACGTTGGCAAATCGGGATGTCACATGTTTACACTATCGCGCGGTGGTTTAACGGTGATCGCTACATAATCGCGAGACGCGTTTGCATCCTCGAAACGGGGGCGAAACGGGTGCGGGGAGGAGAAGGAAGAACGCTGATTGCTGCGCGAGCGCTTTTGTAAGTAAAATCGCTACCCTGACTTCTGTCCGCCGTCGCCCTCAGGACACCGTGCAGGAGTTGCGACCGACGCAACTCGTGCGGGAGTCGGCGATGCTACCGGGCGAGCTGCCAGGCGTCGACAGCCCGCCGTTGCTGTGGCCGACGAAGCGCAGCTTCCGATGATGCGTGCCCAGGCTCTTGCTGGAGCTCAACGAGCGGTTGCCGTTGTAGCGCAGCTGCGACGTCGTCGTCATCGCGTACGATTTCAGGTGCGACTTGATCGACTTGGGCAGCGGCAGCTGGTCGATGCCGTAGACCGTCGTGCGGGCCACGATCGCGCGGCACGCCAGCTCCTGCAGGCTGAGCACTGCAATGCGAATTACGTGACAATCCAATTACCTCCGGCCTGGAAGAACAAGACCGCCGAGACCCGATACCTTTATTGGATCGCCACAATCTCTCCATGCCGTTCCTGTGCAGCGCCATCCGAGAAAGCTCCGAGAAGCTCTCGCGGATATTGAAATTGCAGAGAGGCGAAACCTCGAAGAACGCCATACGATTCTTGGCCGCGTAAGCCTCCGCATCTCGCTCGCCCACTTGCCGCTTGAAAGCCAAGTGCAGGCGGTTGCCGACCAGCACTTTCGGTACGCCAGGCGCGTGCTGCAAAGTTTGACAATTTTGTGAGTCGCCGGGAGAAGGAGCCGACAATCGGACAAGATGATAGAGCGTCGCTGACCTCTTCGACCTCCTTCAGCCACCTATTGATGCCGTCGAAGGACCATTTATTGGTAATGTCGTACACCAAGAGTATACCTTGAGCGCCCCTGGAGTAAGACCGAATGATGGTGCAGAATCTACCCTGGCCCGACGTATCCCACAACTGTAGCTTCACTCGTTTCCCGTCCAACAGGATAGTGGTAGTCTTGTAAGCTGAAAAGGTGAGGAAAACAGATCATTCCCATCTGTGGGTAAACAATGTCGAGGAAAGGAGAATTACGGAGCGCGTGTAACCGAGCACCCGATTCGTCTGGACAGGCCGAAAAGTCGTGTTACCGCTGCCGCTGCAGAACGGCGACTCCGCGGCACCGTCCTCCAGGCCGCTCAAGATCTCTTGCTTGCCGACGTCGCTGTCGCCCACCAGCAGGAACTTGAGCAGATAGTCGTACTGCTTCTCCTGACGAGGCCTCGCCGCACCGCCGCTGGCCTCACCCGCAGCCATAATATCCGGCCGTCGCAGACCCTGAGCATACTGCGGGCGACCCACGGGACGACCACGCTCGCCCTGCCGCCGTCACGCCTGCCCCCGTGTTCGCGGCGCGCGGACGGACCCTCCGGCACCGCCACCTCGAGCACGTCGGGCAACCCGCCGGTGAAAGCTATCGCATCGTACCGCGGTGCGCTGGAACGTCGCGTCGACTCTCTGATCATGGATCTCGGGCCGCGTCGATCGAGAACGCCCGACTGCGCGCGGCCGCCGTGTCTACGCGGCCGGGACGCGGATCCCGACGACGGAGCGGACGCGTATCATAACAAAGCGAACACGGCTCTCCCCAGCTCTCCCCGCTGTTGTCGTCGCTGTGTTGTCGCGCTGGCCCCTCGCCTCGCCTCGCGTGACATCGAGGTTGCGCGCCGTCGCGAAATCCGCGAAGGTCGGGTACGTTCGTTATCGCGTCGCGCGCCTTCCTCGGCCGCGTTTCCATTCGCCCGCGGCCGCGGGTCACCCGGCGGGAGCGATTGGCTGCGCGATCCAACGGTGGCAATTGGCCCCCCCACGTCTTTTCGTCGGGCGACGCGCCGCGATCGCGAATCGAAATGACCGCTGGTGATAATGTTGGGGGAACCAGGGGGAACGTTGACTCGAGCAAGTTGAGAATGCGTTCAGCACAATTATTATTATTATTGGATTAATGGCTCCTGGATCCAGCGGAGTCCAATACGGCCACGCCCAACCGCTTGTCGTAATTTTTCGAGCTAGTTTCAATTACTTGACGCAATGCAGAGGTGGCAGAAGCCCAACTTCGGGCCTCGCGCGGGGTGATGCAATCGGATGATGTAAACCCCCTAACCCCCCCCCCTCCCGAGTATCAAAAATTCCTCTTAGGTTAGACGTGCGAATCGCTCAACGTCCCAAACGGAACTGCGTTCAGCAGAAACAGCTGCTTTGCAACTGTCGTAACAATCCTGAATTTAATACTCTTAAGCCCGCTGCAGACGATGCTATTTTTCCTGCTGGATTGCTTGCGATTTAGTAAATTACTATCGTTGCACCACTCAGCACTCAGGATTCCTAGTAGTTTAGTAAATTGCAAGCAATCCAGCAGGAAAAATAGCATCGTCTGCAGCGGGCTTTAATCATGGCAGAATCTAAAGCCCGTATCAGACTACGGATTGAGATTAGGATTAGATTGAAATTTAACCAATCGGAGTAAAAGTTATTTAACTTGAGATTAGTAAACTTTACTGTGATTGGTTAAATTTCAATCTAATCCCAATCCCAATCCATAGTCTGATACGGGCTTTAGAGGATGCTCCAATGAAGCCTATCACACAATAGGAAAGCACAGGCAATAGGAATAGGGAATAGAAATCTATGTAATGCCAAGACACAATGATTCGTTGGCAATAGGCGTGCTGTCCAATCATCTGCATTTTAAAACCACGTGTCTGTCCCAGTCTCCACTGTGATTGGTCAGGTAGGTCAGGCACAGGGAATAGGGAACAGAAATCCAACGCGTCGGAAATTCTGTTCCTATTGCCTATTCCATATTCCATTGTGCGTCGATGCACGGTTTTTGGTAAGTTGGAATTTAGTTATTTCTGTTGCCTGTGTTATTCCCTGTTCCTATTGCCTGTGCTTTCCTATTGTGTGATAGGCTTAACAGTGGTCAATTTTAACCATTAATATCTCGCTTCGCGGGGCAGAGCAACACTTTTTTCTGCTAGATTTTTTCGTTTTGAGCGAAAACGCGTCGAATAAGTCTAATTTCATCGATTTTGGACGTGAGGGAGCTAAATTGAATAATTACAGCTTTATAAAACTGGCACGAATTGATGAAAAATGACGGACCAATCACAGCGTGCTTTCTTCTGGCCAGACTCTGATTAGAGGGTCTCTACGTGGTGCGAACCTGAAGAGGTCGCGTCGCGGCGCGCGAAAAAGGAATAGATTGAACCGAGTGTCCTTCGATTACGATTTTTGGTGCATTCCATTTAGCGACGCAAACGACACGAGCTTGTGCGCTAATCTACGTTTACGCTTGCATTTTTGTCGTAAGCTACTACGTTGCCAGCAGGATCAAGCATCTTTTCGAGCGAGAATAGAATAACGTTTCTTCGCGTAAGCGAGCGTTTTAAAAAGTTACGACTATTTACCAAACCGGCGCGACGCGTCTAACGACAACAGTCATCTGTTGAATCGTCGCGGCGTTTCCGCATAGCATAACTACAGTAGGTCTACTCCGTCATTTGTTTCGTTTTGCGTCGATCCCTTCCCTGGCGAAAATATGTTTATTAAAAGTTTACAAGAAGTTTGTTTAAACGCAATTTGAACACTTGGAACCGCGAACATGCCATAAACGACTCCATGTTCAAATTTATATTTCACAAACAAATCAATAAATGTTTTAGAACGCAAATAATGAATCCTGCCCGAATGCATGACGGAATACCACGTAATCCGCGAGGATCAAAGGGGCCGGCAGAGAGTGGATCTAAATTATACTACAACTGCGTTCGGCATTGCAAATCTGAAACGTCGGAGCGCTTTTACTCCGTTTCTATCTCGTTCTCCTCTTTCGCTCGCTCGAACGCAAGAGAGTAAACTCCGGCGCCTCGGGCCATCTGCGATGCCGAACGCAGGCTCGTGGCCCCCCGGTAACTTTCCCGCGAGGTTTCGGGTGCGTTCGGGCAGCCCGTTATCAGCGTTACTTAGCGCCAAAAGCGTCATTCTATCCTCGTTGCTTATCGCGTTTCACAGAAAGATAGACGACATCTTCAGCCTTAACGGCGTGCTACGCGAACGTACTCTTCGAGAGCGCGCTCGTCGGGGAAAAAGAGGGGGGGACGGCGGCGACGTAACCGAGGGGAATCGGTTACATCGCGAACTCCCCCCCCCCCTCCTGCCCCTCCGCCGCGCGGCTCGGCGCGTTTACGAACCGGGCGCCGCCGATTCGCGCGATCGCCGCGTCACGTGGCGGGCACCGTCCACGTTTCGGATTGTGGATAAACAAGAGGAAGAAGAAAATATTTGTGCCGCGCGGCGCGTATCGTCATCGTGTCGCCGGGAGCGAGCGCGCGCGCGCCCGTCCAGCCGCCCGTCCATCCATCCGTCTGCCCGTGGCCCGCCTGGCCCGCGCCTGTCATCGTCATCGCCGTCGCCCGTCGCCGTCGCTGCCGTCGTCAGTTCCCGTCGGGACCGAGAGAGCGCAGGGAGGATCGCGGCACGAGGAGGCGAGGTGAAACGCGGCAACGAGGGGCCCCTCGCGCTCACGACCGCGGAGACAGGAGCGAACTTAGAAGGTGCTTGACTATATACCGCTTGCCGGAGTGCGCGCGCGCGCGCGGGCGCCGGAGTGAAAAGGAGCGAGAGGGTGAGGCGGAAAGAAACGAGGACAGAAGGAAGGAGAAAGAGAGAGAGAGAGAGAGCGCGCGGCACCGTGTCCCGCATCCGCACACGCTCGCACGAGTAACGAACGTACGAACGCACTCGGCGCGGAGAAAGGAGAGCCGGCCATATTTCGCGCTGGTACACGCTCGCGTGTGCATACGCAGCCCGTGACCGTGCCGTGTGTGTCCTCCGTCTCTTTCCTTTTCTCTCTCTTGCGCGCGCGCGCGCGCGCCCGACCGACCGACTCGTCCGCCGGAGTCTCTCTCCCTCGTCCGGGCGCCCCGATTTTCTTGTCCTCTCGTTTTTCTTCATCCCCCGCCGTCCCCTCCGCCGACCCGCTCGCACACGACTCCCCTCTCGGCCGTCACGGCGCGCACGCACATCCTCTCCGTCTCCGTCCCGCGGCTAATTTTTGTCATCTACACTTGTACGCCCGAGACGCCCGTAAGACTCCTCCACCTTCGCCGGTTTACCTCGCGTCCGCTCGCTCCGCCGTCGCGTGTTATCTATTTATCTAGCGTATCTGAGTCGCTCGAACGTCCGTGAATTTATCTCCCTCTCTCTCTCTCTCTCGCTCTTTCTCCCCCCCCCCCCTCCTCTCTCTCGATCCAGCGACTATCTATCCGTTTCGCTCTCTCGTCAGTCTCGTCTCGCGCCATCCCCCTCGCGCGTTGCGCGCTCCTCTCTCTTTCTCTCTCCCTCCGCCCGACTCGGCTCCGTCTTCCTCTCTTTCCCGTGCGCCCGCTCGCTCGGCTACACCACGGCTCATTCGCTCCCGGTGCTATGTCTACGTACTCTCGTACCCAGGAGAGCGACGCGTGGGCCCTACTGGCACTCAAGTCGGCGCCGGCCAGCCCGTCGAAGATGCAGTGGAACCCGGAGGCGAGCGGGGCGCCGATCGCGCGGCTCGAGGCCCGCGAGTTCGAGTACATGGTTAGGCAGCGGCGCATCACGATCGGCCGCAACAGCAGCAAGGGTGAGGTCGACGTCAACATGGGCCACTCCAGCTTCATCTCGCGCCGGCACCTCGAGATCTTCTACGAGCACCCGCTCTTCTTCATGGTCTGCAACGGCAAGAACGGCGTGTTCGTCGACGGGGTATTCCAGCGCAAGGGCGCCCCAGTCTTTCAACTGCCAAAGACGTGAGTTCCTCCCACGCGATTTATTTATTTATCTTGCGCCGTCCCGAGACACGCGCGATCACGAGCCGCCGAGCTGTCGTTTTTTCGCGTTTCACGCAGCTACGCCGCACCGAAGTTGCGGCCACCGAAGCGGTTGTCTACCTGTTCCATTGGAATTTTCCGCGCTCGTGACAAAGCGAGAAAGGGACCGGTCCCTTTGCGTAGCCCTCTACGGCGACAAAAGGCCGTTGTGTAAAAGTAGCTTATTCTTGCGACAAAAATATTTTGTCCTGGCAGAACGCGCGAGGCGCGTTATAAGTCGCGGGCGGCTATCTGGATCACTGTGGCCAGTGCGAGAGGCAAATCGATGTAACTCGGTGGTGACGCTTGTTCTGACTTTGGTGTTGCAGATGTACATTCAGATTTCCAAGTACAACGATAAAGCTGCTGTTCCAGTCGCTAGTCGACGAGCAGGAGCAGAGCAACATTCGCGTGCCCTCCCCGCCGAAGCAGCGGGCGCTGCTGCCGCCGCTGCGGATAAACATCCCGGACGCCGGGTACAGCAGCCCGTTCCCGTCGCCCACGGGGACGATAAGCGCCGCTAACTCGTGCCCGGCGAGTCCGCGCGCCGGCCAGGGCAGGCGGAACATCTCGGCGGACCTGCAAATGGTCGCGGCGTACGCGGCGGGGATGGCAAACGACTCGCAGACCCCCGCGTTGGACAGGCACAGCCTGGAGAGGCACGACGGCGGTGGCCAGAGCTCGAGCAGGCAGATAAGCCCGGAGCCCGGCGCCGACGCGCGTTACCGAGGTGGTAACAGCTCCGGGCCGAACGGCACCGCGCCGCACTACAGTCCGCCGAAGGACGACTCGAAACCGCCGTACTCGTACGCGCAACTGATCGTCCAGGCGATCGCCTCGGCGCACGACAAACAGCTCACCCTCTCGGGCATCTATTCGTACATCACCAAGCACTATCCCTATTATAGGACCGCGGATAAGGGCTGGCAGAATTCTATACGGCACAACCTATCGTTGAACCGTTACTTCATCAAGGTGCCCAGGAGTCAGGAGGAACCGGGGAAAGGTTCCTTCTGGAAGATAGATCCTCAGTCGGAGACCAAGCTCATCGAGCAGGCTTTCAGACGAAGACGGCAGCGTGGCGTACCCTGTTTCCGCGCGCCCTTCGGGACGCTGTCGTCAAGGTAAGGTGTCGAGGAAAGCTACCCCCGTGGCTGGCCGTAGGTCGATAAGTCATTCAACATTGTCGTCTGTGATCAGCAGAAGTGCCCCGGCGTCGCCGTCTCATGTAGGAATTAGTGGCTTAATCACGCCCGAGTGTCTGAGCAGAGAGACGTCTCCCGGGCCCGAATCCTATCCGGACAGCTCGGTACCTTCTCCAGCTGGACAACTCGCGACGAGTCAGTCGGCGCCCGGCTCACCTGGACATCCGTACACGCCGTCTCAGCCGACTCACAAGGGACGCCTGATGCAAACAATAGTGACAAATGGCGTCAGTGGCGACGCCGCAGGTAGAGAAGGTGAATTTTCTCTCGTCTCTTTCTACCTGATAAGATTCCTCCCTTCCTTTTATCGCCGAGATACTTTACGGCTCGTTTATTGAAACAGAAAAATACTTGGTGCCTGGGAGCGCCGTAGAGGACCATTCTTTATCTCCGGCTGGCCAGTACAGTCCAGCTCCTGTTATTGTACAAACAACATATAATTACAGGTACGGTTCACGCTCGCAGGCGTTACATTGCCTGCTGTTATTTTATCCGTGCGATTAATCCGCCCGCGGCGGACACCTTCTATCGGCGCTGCGTCGTCTACAATTTCGTGTCAATTTTTCTGTCCGCAACAGTGGAAATTTTATCAGCCCCGATGCTGGCATCGGGGGGGTTAGCAAACGCACCCACGAAGAATCTGACAGCTCGCCAGGTTCGCCGGCCCCGCTCGCGATCGTCGAGAGCCCCGAGCCTCCTGAACATCAGCCATCGCAATCCAAACGTCAACGTATCCATGAAATGGACGATCATTGAACTGATAAAACTAGTATCCTGTTACGTAGAACATTACATTTACATTATTTGCCTGTCGTCGAACATACACACACACACACAGACACACATACACACACTGCAAACTTCATTTTATTTTAACCGCATAACCCGCTTTAGACTGCACATAATCGAGATCGAGCGTCAGTTCTATGTTCTCGCGAGAACTGCGAGAAACTGTTGTGTGTACGAGTCCGCAAAAGAAAATCAACCTGAGAGAAAGAACGACGAGCAGAAGACACTTTTCCTGTCCTTCTAGACTTCATGTTCTCGACATGATTTTCTTAACAACAGTCAATGTACATAAGATATATATACTTTATTAAATGCTTTCTCTTTATGACTTGTTAACTTCGGCAGAAGATATAGTATATATGTATATGGAGCTTATTTGATCGAAGGTCATCCAAAATAGTAACAGCAGTTGTTGCGCCGACACATCAAATTGCAATAATGTGATGCGGTAACGTGCCATTCAGCGTTTAGCCGATACATAAGATAGACAAAGAGGAAACGTTATCCAGTGTAATTCCAATCGGAACGGAGCGAAGAGAAGTGGTGCGTTTATCCGTAGCTGAATCCGCTGACCGACATCCGTTTCACGCGCGTGAAATTTCTGTTTTTTGTATTATCGCTTGCACCCGCTTGGCGTCGTCATCACGACTAGCGAAGATTAACGATAGGCAAAGTGATAAGAAGAGCGTGAAAAATAATAGATTATTACAATTAGCGCTTTTTAAGACGCTCAATCGTTTTATCTGAGGGCGAGATAAGACACGGTACACTATCAGTGCGACAGCGAGAAGACCGATAAAGAAACAGGTGGACAAACCGACGAGCTTCTGTAGCGTTGACGATACGGTTCTCTGTCCGAGATTGTTGCCAGAGCCAGAGAAAGCAAAATAGAGCCTTGTGATGTCTCACATTATATAATTAATGTAAGGGGTGCGATTTTCTGGCATAGCGGAACCTAATTCGTGCCGATCGAGCGGTACATTTCGCCAACTCCCCCGACGGGGAGTTTACGTGCTCGCCTCGCAAGTCAAACGAGCGAGAGGGGAGGGGGGGGGGGAGAAATTTGTGAAGGATTTTTTGAATTTTCCGTCATCCAAGGTTCTCGCGGCCCTTCGAACATGTGGCGTGAGCCGCAACGGGAACGGCACACCCAATTCGATCGTCTTGCGATAGTCCTCTAGTTTTGAATACTGGGGGAAAATTGCTTCGGATAAAAATGGGCAATGACGAGACGCGGTGGAGGAAGGTCGGGCCGTGAGTCGAAGCGAGGGTTTCGCGGGGCGACGTGTCGAAGGGGAGGCGCGGTCGACGATAATGATGCCAAACTCGACTAATGATTTCTCCTGCGATCGGTTTACTTTTCTCGTGCAATCGTAGTTAATCGTAACCCGCCGATTCCCCCTAGAGCATCGGCGTTAGGCAAGATAAAAATAAACACAAAAAGTAAATAAACAGGAAAAAAAACGACACACAGTAGCGTTAGACTTACGGTGGAGCAAGGAGGGGGCAGGATTGGACGTAGTTGTTATATACCGAGATCGGAGAGGAGCGTGGTGCAATAAAGAGGCAAAAAAAAAAGAAAAGAGAAAAGAAAGGGAAGAAAAAACGAAGTTTATTTTTCGCACCTTTCGCGAGAAGCGAGCGTACGGCGCGTTCTATCTGAAACGTTTATTTTTCTATTAGTCGGACGTACACGAGCACAACAAAGGGTCGGGACTTGGACGATACTGGTAGACGGATTATACACGCTGTACAGTGTTGATACCATACGTGTCACGAGCTACGTATGCCGCTATTATTATACATATACGTACATACGTGAGCGAGATACGTGCGCGCACACGGCATGGCGCGCGCGTACGCGTGTGCGTGAGAGATCGATACGCGTGACGGGACACGTGCGCGACATACACATATACACACACAACAAACACACATACACCTTTCCTGACATCACCGATGTGCATGTATGTGTGCATATGTATAATAACGCAATAAAATTAATACAATTACAAATCGTCATTCCGAGTCGTGCTTGCTTGCTTGTTTGTTTGTTTTTTTTTCTACCTCCACGTGCCGCGTCTCTGGCCCGGTGGCAGGCAACGATCCGTAAACTCTCGAGACTGTCCCAAGTCGTGGACGTGGCGCGGCGTCTACGATGAGACTTTTTAAGGCGCGAGAGATTTCAATCGTAGTCTAATGCGAGGACACTCGACTGTAATTGGCCAATTTTCTAAATCGCGCGTCTCGAAATCTCATCGCGGGCGCCGCGCGAGGCAAGAGGCGGAGAAGAAGTGGTACGGTAGACTTTCACGACTCGCGAATTTTTCTCCGCCTTGCCACGCGACGAATGCGACAATTCTTTGTGCGTGGACTACCGACTCGAGTCCCGAAGCCTCGTCTGTAATAATCGCACAGGCTGCGTCACGTGTCGCAGGAAAGTTTGCCGCTGAACGGAGCGTCTACAATAGCCGCGAAGATTCGCGATAGCGTTAAATCGATCGCAGCCACGCATTAATCTTTCTACAACTTTGCTCCCAATTCTTTAATTTACTGTCTTTATGTTGCCGTTTGCTCAGTGAAAACGCTCGATCGATGATATTCCTGTCCTTTTCATCAATTTTAATACGCTTCCGCCGCAACGGGGGGTTTGCGCGGGCGAAGGCTATTATCTTCTTGTCTGCAGTAACAATAAGATCGTCCTCAGCTTCCGTTTTCTACGTTATTTACATTAAAACATTAATAAGAAAATTCACCATGGATCAGCCAGCGACACAGGGCAAATCACTTTTAGCGCCAGCGCACTGTGATTAGCTGATCTCGTGCGACACGCTTGTCGCAGTCGCAGAGAGTTGAAGTTGGGGTTCAACTCCGAGGCGAAGCCGGAAACAATATACTTACGACATGCGACACGCGCAGCCTGCGCGACTATTGTAGGCGAGGCTTTACGACAGAATCGTAGACGGTTACGGCGATCTTTCCGCTCCTGGCCCGACAAATCGGGGCCACGAATTCGAGCGGGTCCGAGGAGGGGGGGGGGACAATGCCGTCACCGGCGATTACATCTTCACGCTTTCCTCCCCCCCCCCCCCCCTTTCCTTCTTCTCTTATTTACGCTCGGCCGTTTCGCGCTCGCCGCCAGATGTCTTCGCGGTTCCTCCACGCGCGCGAGTCGCGCGTTTTGTTATGGCTGACTATGGCACTATGAAGAATAATCGCCGTCCCCCGCGGCTCGTCGCAACGCTCGATCGACAATCGCCTGGCGGAGTGCGTGGATCATGGATCCAGAACGGGGCGACGCGAACGTGTACGAGCTCGTCACGCAGCTGGTCGGGCACGCGTTGCGGAGGGACCGCGCCGAGAATGCGTGCTGCTACGTGCCGCCCGCGAGCGACGTCAGGACCGTCAGGGGCTTTCGCTCGAGGGCCTACGAGATATTGTTGAACAAGAGTGGCACGGCGCACGGTCAAGGTACGACGCGCCCCGTGCGTCCCGCCGTGGGTCACGGGGCTCAAGAAGCAGAAACGATGCATGTATTCCCTTGAATGACAGCGCTTTGTCAATGCCACGATTGCAGGTCGCGCGGCGGAGATCGATCCCCTGGTGGAGATACTCAAGCACGCCTTCGTGCTCAGGCTGTCCCTGAGACGCGCGTCAGAGGCGAGGGAGTTGGAAGGTTTGATAAGCCAGTTGTACGACCAGGGGGGTAACACGGACGCCGTGGTCTCCACCCTGCGGCTGCTGGTAGAGCTCAAGAGCTTTCAGACCGACACGGAGGCCGCATTGGTATCTATTTCACTTTGACTCGTCCGGTTCTCAGGCTCCTAAAAACGCCTAACGCGAATCGAATTTTGCCCAGGACGTGTTTCACTATGGCAGAGCCAATCCCTTCTTGCCCGAGGACGCTGCGTCCACGAACGGCGTGCCGACGTTTCAAACATATCCCGTGGAGTCCTTTGTCTTGTCGGACAAGTTTGAGGCGATGCTGGGCGTACGCAGAACCTGCACCAGGCAAGACACGGCGACCAGCTTCGTTAGCAGAGCATCTCTCGAGAATCAGTGCGTATCAAAGGCCATCCTAGGAGTCCAAACAGTTAGGTATGATCACGACGGTACGAGCGATTCTCATTTCCTATTCGCGCGCGAACTCTGAAGGACTTCCCGATGCGCTGTTTTAGGTACAATAATGCTATTGAAATGATCCCCTGCATATCGAGCTGTACTGAGGATACGGCGAACCAATGTAGCATGGTCGTTCCCTTCTTAGCGCATATTATGGTAAGATCTGTATCTCGTGCCTTTTAACACTCGTTTTTTATCTTTACGTGACATGTGAACTGCGTCTCTTTCGTCAGGTTGAACAAACAAACAAGATATATTTGTCTACGCAAAGATTTATGTCGAACACGACTGTACCCTGCGAATGGATGAAGCCTGTAGATAATCAAAGCGAGAGTCGTTTCTGCGCCGTGCCGTCGGGCAGCCCCGACCGTAGCTTCGCGAGCGAATCAAAAGGTACCGCGAGTATCCTCGATTTAATGTGGAGGGAGGTATTGTTCTCTGGCGATCGTATGTCCGAGTTACGAACGTGGGAGTCTCTCGGGGCGCCGGAGCTCTCCGGGCAGTCGCTGTTCGTCACCGATCTGCCGGAGACCGCGCTGCACCTAGCGAGGATAAGACAAACAAGTATTTTATCACTGCTGCCAAAGAAGGTAAAGACGACGGTACTCCCGGCAAATATATCATGCAAAAATTGTTCTCTTCGTGTCGCAGGCAATGCATTCCATATCCCTGATGCGGGAGGTCTCGCCCGAGAGATTTTTGTCGGACGTCAAATTGCTCTTGTTCGGTATAGATTCAGAATCCTTTAGATACGACGCCCTGGTACGTGGATCTAACGAACCGGCGCTGGCACGATCGCTTTATACGCTTGTACATTACGGTCCTATTTCAGATGGGATTTGAATTGGATGAGAACATCACTGTGCACGGCATCGGCTTCGAGGCACTGAGGATCACTTGCCAAGAGGCGGTTCGTTGGGGCAACAGTTTCAGGTCCCTGACGCAGCTCGTCGTGCCGGATCCGCAAACGGGCAAATTGCAGCAGAATGGTCTCATATTCAAGGTGCGTACAATTCTTTCGCGCCACGACGCGCGTCCGCTCGTCCTTTTGAATCGCAGCAAACAAGTTTTACTTCTTTTTTTTTTAATACGATGACAATTGCAGGCAATGTGCGCCAACGTTAAAGAGCTGCTCCTTTACTATCGCTCGGCGTTGCAGAGGATTCTCGACCGGCGCGAATATCACGGACTGCTCAGCCTGTTCAAACGGGTCCGTCCGTTGGCGCAGTTAATCGTGGAAGTCGCGAGGCTGTGCGGCTGCCGCGCGAATCAGTGCACCCTGGGCGGTGGCAGTGGGATCTTGACGCACATTTACAAGGAAGTGACCAAGGTCACGAATCCGAAGGTCGCGTTGGTGCTCTACTCCACATTGAAGTCTTGCTGTGAGGTCTACTTTCGGTGAGGAGCCATCACTTTTTCTATTCTTCACAAGGAGAACGTTAAGTCGGGCGAATGTGTACTAATTATTCTCGCAGATTTTTGCAAAACTGGTTGTTCGAGGGAACGTGCGACGACGTTTACGGAGAATTTATGATACAAGGACGGTCTCATTATCTGCGAAAGAAGGGGCGTAAATTTTGGACGGAGAGTTTCGCGATCGATACAAAGTCGGTGCCCGGCTTCTTATCCGAACTGTCGGAGTCGATACTGCAATGCGGGAAAACGTTGCGGCTCTTAAAAATTTGCAGTCCAAAGGTTATCTTTCACGAAGCATAGTTTCCACCGATTTCATGACGAGTCGATAAAAAGATCTCCCGATGTTTGCACTTTAGAATCCCGTGTGCAACGTGTCTCTCAATGCTCAACCGGAAGTGAAGGTCTGCCTGAGTGTATCTATGCTGCGCGAGCAATTGTCGAGGTGTCAGGAGTACGAGCGTAAAGGCGAGGCGGCGCTGGGACCAATCGTATCACTTCTATCCGCGATTCAGGATGAAAAGAAAGCCGATAGGGAAACGGCTGAGCTCGTCATACGTGCGCAACAGGAAACGTTGTCGAGGCTGGATGGTAGTACTCTTTATGTCTCCAATTTTCACAGCGTTCTAAATTAAAGATGTACGTATTTAACAGCCGCTATAACCGTTTTCGTTTAGAGCAACGTAAAGAACTCATCATGAAGGCCGCGCAGAGTAAACGGGAGTTGCTGCAAGAATTGAAGCAACAGGCGGAGGCGAGCGCCTTGATTAAAGAAAGGGAAAAGGAGAACGAAATGCTAGCTGATAAATTGTTGCTCGAAAAGATTAATCGAGAGCAGGAGGAAATACGGGAGCAGCAACAGGCCGAGCGGTGAGGTTTAATAGTTTAAGTGAGAGTCGCTGGAGAACAATCGTCTCGCTGGTTTCAAATATTCATGCCGCTGTTTTGTGCGTTTCAGGGAAAATCTCGTAAACTATTATGAGAAATTAACTGCCGATATAGAGAGCAAGCGTGCACGATCCATCTGGCGAAAGATGAGAATGAGTCATTTCGAAAGACGAGTGGAACTTCTGAAATCCGTAAAGAGGCTCGATAGAGAGATATCGGAAAATGCCACCACACGAGGTCCCGATGAAAATATCGTCGATATTAACGAACAAAATAAAAATGTCACGTCTGAGGTGTCCAGTCAAGACGAAAATAGCAACTTCGCGGAAAACGGACTGCTGGATGTGGTTGTGGACGCGAATATTTCCGATCAGAGCAATTCTAAAGAAGATCATTTGGCCGCCGAGTGCGCGGGCTCGGATGCTTCGCCCGTCGAAGATCGGGAGCTCGATAAAGATACTGAATCGGACAAGGAAATTACAAGCGAGGATTCCGTCGCGACAGCGGACCCGCCGAACGTACATCTGCCGCAAGAATCTCTACCGTTAGATTACAAAATGTACAAGAGGAATAACGAGAGGAGCAACCTGCAGGATTTCCTGCGTGACGAGGCAATGAAAAGCATTCATACTATAATGAATGACGATGATAAGAAGAGCCGTTTAAACGACATCTTGGAAACCGACGAGGTGACCGAGAGAATTATTGGTGCTATTAAGAGGCCTAAGTCCTTAGCTATCAAGATAAATAATATGACCACTGCACAAACCAACAGACTTAAAGTCTTGATGCAAGAGTACGGTATGACTCCGAATAACAACGAGCTCAGTACGATACTCACGGATAATCAAGGAATTATTGATCGCGCAAATACAAACGGCAATAAGCAAGTAACCGATGTCAGCGAATCAAGTTCGGATAGTACGAAGGAAAACAATAATGTTCTTTCAACAACCAATATCAAACTACCGGAGGAAACGGCGAATGTGCCTACGAATGACGGAGAGTGCCCAAGTAAGACTAACGACGCGAGCGACGAAGTACACGAGCAGATATTGAATAATACGCAGCAACAGAATAACATAGACACGCCGATGTCGTGCACGACAGACAATTTCACGACGGCGTCGATGCACACTCCTTTGTCGCAGATACCGAATAGCGACGATATATTCGCTTTAAACGCCGGTCAGGAAGTCTCGTCCTTATCCGACGACGTGGCAAAGTCGATCACGGAAGAAACGTGCTTCGAGTCTCCGATGAGCAGTAATTTCAAGCTGCCGAATCTGTTCGGCGTTAGCTACGACGTGAAATCGTCGGCCGCACCCTCGTCTCTGACCATAGCCGACGTCGAGATGATCGACCACACGTCCCTGCAGGTGTACTTGGAAAAGTCCATCATTATCCCACTGCAGATACAAACCCGGCTGGTTAACAACGCGATCATTAAATATCTGGTGAACGAGCACAACATGCTTTCGCATTTGCACAGCTTGCGCAGTTACTTCTTTCTGTTGAACGGCGAATTCGCCAAGAGTCTGACGGACTCGCTTTATTCGCGGCTTTACGCGATATCCGCGCCGATTGAGCTCTTCAATTCCGCCACTCTCACGAATCTCTTGGAGAAAGCGCTGATGAACTCGTTCAGCAATAATTACGCCCATTCGGAACTTTTGAGCCTTTCCGCGGTCGACAAACCGTGTCAGTTATACGTAAGTGCAATCGCCCGCTTGACAAATGTGTTATGATAATGCTCGTTCAGATATTAATAACAGTGTTTCTTGCAGATTTCCGATCCGAATGTCTTAGAATGCCTTTGCCTAAACTACAAGATATCATGGCCGTTGAATATTATTTTGGATGACACGATGATGCTGCAATACAGTAAAGTGTTCAAGTTTTTAATAATGATCGGCAGAATGTCGTGGGTACTGCAGGAAGACTTTAATATAATGAAAGTGGAGCGTAGCGCAGTTAATTCGGAGCAGTATCACAAGGTAGATCGTCTAAAGCCCGTATCAGACTACGGATAGAGATTGAGATTAGATTGAAATTTGGCCAATCAGAGTAAAGTTTACTAATCTCGAGTTTAGCGACTTTTACTCTAATCGGTCAAATTTCAATCTAATCTCAATCGCAGTCCGTAGCCTGATACGGGCTTAACGCAGATATTGAGGAAACGCTAAGAGATTGTTCTTACTGACTTCGTTCGTTTGCAGCTGCAGTTGTACAGGCACTCCATGACACAATTCATGAACGCTCTTCGCAACTACTTGACGTGTAGCGTGCTCCATGCGAGTTGGAACGAGTTCGAAAGAGACCTGCAGAATTCCCGGACAATAGATCAGATCTATCTCTCGCACATGAGCTATATCAAAAGGATACTATCGAGGTAGTCCCCGGCACCCGATCGATTTTCCCCTCGAGACCGAACGCACCGTGACTCACGACATTCCGATTTCAGGTGTATGCTCAACACGCGCGGAGAAAAGATGCGCGCCTGCTTGATTAACGTCTTTAAAATCATACTGAAGTTTCACAATCGCTTGAGGTCGCAAGCTTGGGCCGTCGGCAGCGCGGGTCAGTACGGCCATCCGAATTTCAAGAGCTTGGAGCAAATGTACAAGTCGTTCTGCGACTGGCGGACTTACATGGCACACATCGCGCACAAACTGGCCACCAGCGGGTACCAGCCGCACCTAACGCATTTTCTCAACGCTTTGAATATAAATCACATGTACGACTTGACGATAAAGCAACAATAGCACTGTGATTAAATTCCGCCGTGTTCTTCTTTCATGATCGATGTTATTGAATGTAAAAGAATGTCAGTGATGTTTTCCGTAGGTACTCGGATTCATTAAAAGTAATTTAATTTTCGACAAGGCGAGAAGTTCTTTTACATTGGTTTATTTAGCAAAATGAACGATAGTTAAGAAATAGCCGATCACTAACGCTTACACGGATACCGATGACACATTCGCCACGTCAAGTACCTTAATGCAACGTCTGCAGAGACCGTTTTTGTCTAATTCGGGATGTCTCCTGCACCTTTGGCAGAGCATTTTGTCAGTATTGTGTAACTCGACCTGCGTCTCGGTTACCGTGGGCGATTCCACCAGTGTAATTGACGAGAGTTGCAAAATTTCGCATAATTCTGACGTAGAGGACTCCCCATCCTTTTGAAGTATCTGCAGGAATAAGCAGACACGATTTACAGTAATCACGTTTGATCGTTATATTAGTGCATTAGGGACTAATACGAGTTATGATTTATAGAAAGTTCCCCACCGAAAGCGATTCATAGTTATCCCTCGAAGCGCTTATGGTGCCCGAGAATTTCCAGGTGTTACGATCAGCCAGTGTGTTGACCTTGCTTCTCAAGCTTAGAGCCGTCTCTACGAGTCCGACGATTTCCGGTTGATGCCACGTCGCCGGCACTTTGTATTCGGTATGATACAATGGCACTGACGCTGTGAACAATATGCGAACGGTAATACAATGTGGAAAACGCTTTCTCGCCGAGTCGCCTACCCAGATTCTCAGGATGGTACAGCCACACCTCTTCCGCCAAGTGCGGGACGATCGGCGCGATAGATCTCGCGAGTACGGTCAGGGTCGCGCGCGTCACCTCTACCGCGGCCAGACGCGCCGGAGATGCTGCTTCGTCGCAGTAGAGTCTGTCTTTAGTCAAGTGACAGTATACCGACGACACGGTGTTGGTCACGAAATTCGTCACCAATTTACACGCGTGATGATACAAATAATTGTCATACAGGCTGTGAATCTGCAAGATCGAAGGAACGATGGCATGAGTAACGCGGATGTTTCTCAAATGTAGCCAGTTACTGACAGCCTCACCTCTTTGTTATATTCATGCAGAGTATGTAGCATGTACTTGTCAAGATAGAGGTATTCCGGTTCGATTGCGGTTCCCTCGTTGTACGAGTGTAAAATGCCCAACAGGAACCGTAAGACTAAGCGTAATTTCTGTACAGTTTCGTGACTCTCGCACAACAACGCGGTCGTGACCGGAACCTGGCTGTGTTGACACCCGTGGCTGGCCACCCACCACCTATCAATTTCCTTTTGTTAACTTTGGGCATGTTATTTCGCGATCGAGTCAGCGAGTACCTCCAACTGACCTTAGAGTATCGACGCCGTACACCGGGTCTTTACTCAAGTTAGCTCCACCTTTGGTAATTGTCTCGGGATTTATGACGTTTCCAACTGATTTCGACATTTTCGAGGCTTTATCGTCGACAGCAAATCCGTGCACGAATAGCGCGCTTTTGAAAAGAACAACATGAATATGTAAATTAGCATGAGAGCCGGTGCGTAATTTTACATTGCGTGAGGTACCTGTAAGGAGAACGTTCTTGAAGAGCAATGGATGTTAGTAATGATGACTGAAACCAACCGCGAAACTGATCCATTCCTTCTAAATACAAATCTGCCTTGTGTTCCGGCAAAACGATCGACCACGAAAGACCGCTGTCCAACCAGATATCCATGATATCCTTCAAGAAATGTAGCCACCTTGCAGTCATGCATTACTGACATTCGAGAGTCCGTCGAAAGAGATTGTTAGTTTTGTACATACGGTTCCCCTCTCCAAATCATCTATATCGTCGTTCAACTCCTGCCGAAGCTCGCGACCAATTAACTTCTCGGTCGACAGCTCCCACCAATAGTCGGTGCCGTGTCGCTCCATCAGTCTGCACAGTCTCTCGACCCATTTTCTACGGCACGAAAGTACGCGTAAATTCTGCGTCGCCAAGCCAATTGTATTGCCAATCAGCAAAGTCACCTGCTCGTATACGTATCACCGGTTCGTTTATTGTGCAACACTGGTATCGGCGTTCCCCAGGACCGTTGTCGGGAGATACACCAGTACGGCCGCTGCTTAACTTGCGCGATCAGCGCGTTCAGATACGACGTCCGATCTTGCTCCGGGTATATCCTTATATTCGCGATGCTGTCCTTGCGTAAAAAAGACATAAGCACACGAGTAACGATGAATGCGTAGCAACATGCCTGTTTCAGAAAGACCCGGCCGACTTACAATCGCCCTCTCCTTTATGGACCCAATGTCTATGAACCATTGGTGACTCGCGCGAATGATGACGGGCTTCTTGGTTCGCCAATCGTACGGATAGCTGTGCGTGATCGTGTCTGCATGCAACACGTCCTCACCGATGCGTTCCAAGATCTTGGTAGCGCCATCGTTTAGGACATCTAGGCCAGAGAACTCGTCGCCCGCTTCTTTCGTGAAACATCCGTCGTCGTCTATCAAAGATAACTGCAACAGTCACACGGATCGTCCCGTTATAATCAATACGATACTGATTGTACTATAAATTACGTTGTGAAAGATGGCCTCACCACTGGTATATTATTCTCAATCGCAACGAGAAAGTCGTCGGGACCGTGTGCGGGAGCTGTGTGAACTAATCCAGTACCGACACTGGTTGTGACGTGACGTCCAGGTAGAAACGGCAAACGTTGTTTGCTGATAGGATGAAGATACTTGGCTTCGCCCAATTCCTGCCCTGATATTTTATTTATTCATTAGTTACTATAAATTGTTGAGCGTAATGTTTAGATGTAACGCCGAGTATTACCCGTGATAGTTGCAATCAATTTTAACGGACCGAGCTTCTGCTCAATATTTGCCAAGCACTCTTGCGCAAGAATATACAGATTTTTCGAATTGTCTTCCACAATGCAGTACACGGTGTTACTGGAGAAACTTATAGCTTGATTAGCGATCAACGACCACGGCGTAGTGGTCCAAATGAGGGCATAGAGCGGCTTGTTCTCAAGGTTCTTTAATCTCGAGGCCAACGCATGTGCGTCGAGTCGCATGCGAACGATAACGCTTCTGCTCTTGTGCGACTCGTTGTACTCCAATTCCGACTCCGCCAATGCTGTTCTACGATTGTCGAAGGGAAAAGCAACGTATAAGACCGAGGGAATCTCATTAAGGATTGATCTACGGGCACGCCTGGTTTGTACCTGGAGGACGGTGACCAGTGCACAGGTTTGAAGGCCCGGAACACGAGTCCTTTGTCGTGCAGGTTTATAAATTGTTGCATCTGGTTCTTCACGTACGATGGGTGATTCGTGAAGTAACACCCCGACTCGCTCCAGTCGGCCATGACGCCCCACGACGTGAAAACTTGTCGCTGCTTTGCTATAGCGTCGCTCGCGTATTTCCTGGCTGCAATACAGCGAGTTTAAAGCCCAGTCTGCAACGTGCTCTTTTTGCGCCTAGAAACATTCTAGTTCCTTACCAGTAAATACGTTTAAAAAGTCTGCGCAAGTGGACAAATTGTATATTATACACTGTGCAATCGTACAATGTCGATTTGTTTGTGTAAAATAGAATGTTTCCAGGTGCAGAGAGCACATTGTAGACGAGGCCTCAGGAGAACGGGAGATACTGCGTTAAGCGACATTTATGTTTCGACATACCTCTGCGACGAATCTCTAAGGGGCCGTCATCTTTTGCGTCTCTGAGCACTTTCTGTTCGATTGGCAAGCCATGGCAATCCCAGCCTGGAACGTAATGCACCCTTCTGCCCGTTACGATCTTGCATCTCAACGTGATATCCTTGAGGACCTAAGCGGACGAAAGCGATTTCTAAATACCGACAAAGTGTGTACCGTCCCAAATTTCTCATTAATAAAAACCTTGTTAATAGCATGGCCCATGTGCGGCTCTCCGTTCGCGTACGGCGGCCCGTCGTGCAAAACAAAGTCCGGCCCCTCGAGATTCTTCCGCTGCCAGTTGTACAGTTCCAAGAAGCCGCATTTCTACCGTAAAAACACGGAAAGATTGTGGCGTGAAAATTCCAATTCTCTCGCGCAGTTAAGTCATAACGAGCCGAATTTACGCGGCCCGCGGTGATATTTGAATTGCATGTAAAAGCGAGCAATGTGCTGGACGCGCAATTCCGTTCGGCAGGCAAACAGCCCGCCACCGCGGAACGTCGGTCTTGTCGGTAGACGGACGTTCCAATTTGGAGCGAAAGAAAAAGGAAGATAGGATCCACCTCTAGCAAGTAACTGTCCATCTCCAGTCGTTTCGCGCCGCCGAGTCGCGCCGGGAAATTGGTCTGCGGCAGCAGCACGGTTTTCGTGTAGCTTTGTCTCGCGACGCTCTTCGCGCCCCTCAGCCACATGGCGCGGCAGAATTCCGCGCGAGTCCGCAGCGCGGACCCGGTCGTCTTCAACAGCCGCCTCATCCTCGCGCTAGATACGGGCATCATTGAATTACAAAAAAGACACGCACTGCTCTCTTATCTTCTAACCTCAGCTCCATACGCCGAGCCTGTTACGCCATTTTTAAATGCCATAATCCCCCCCTCGGACCTCGCACGCATGTGCGACGCGCACGGTCTGCTTTGAATACGGCGAGCTATCGATATCGCGAGCCATCGATATTTGTTCCACGAAGTTTTCGAATTCTTTCTCCGGTGGCTGTCTTGTACTCTTAAGATATAAGACAGTTATTGTGCGTCGCCTCAAGACAAAGGCCTAAAACAGGAAGCATTGTCTTAAGGCTGTTTTAAGAGTATAAGACAGCCATTCTGGCACCGTGGGGTATTCCCTTACGGAAAAAAAAACACTCAAGTTTTGAGCGTTAACACTCGATTGTCTGAATTTACTCTCAAATTTGGGCGTAAACACCCAGATTTAAATATTCACATTATACGAACCCAATAATCTCGCGCACCGGTTAAGCTTAGAAACGTTTTTCTTCCTGTTAGTTTATATAAGTTGTCAAAAAAATATTAAGATGACATCGTCTTTTCGGGTGACAATATCATCGGAATTGGCGATCGGAGAAGGTCTGGGTAGCTCCGCATCATTCGTGGCATGTCTCGCGGCGTGTTTTTATCGTTTGTCGTTTCTACAGAAAGGAATCGTCATCGCCGAATTTGACTGTCAAGATATTTCGGTTATTTTTCAATACGTTCAGAAATGCAGTTATATGATATACAATGACTGGACTACAATTGATTCCCTCGTATGCGTGTACGGTTCGGTATATGTATTCCGATCGGACGTACAGACAGCTGTATATGAAGCATTACCGAACATGAAGATCCTGTTGGTTTCCCCAAATGTTTGCCACAAAACAATAATCGATCAAAACGTACAAACGGGGAAAATCTGCCAGTCATATTTAAACATCAAGTCTATCCAGAAGTGTATCGACGATATAGTCGAAATGTCTAATAATATACAGGGTGTCCTAAAACCACCGGAGGTCCTCTTAATGACAGATTCCTTAGAACATTTCCAGTCGAAAATCCTAATACAAAAGTGTCGAGGCTATAATAGTTTTTAAATTAGAAGCGATTATTTTCCACAAATGATAGGGCTGAAATTTCGCGCGCTCAGGAACGGCGAAATGACAAGTGATATAAAAA